TCCTATTCTGTGCTTCTCTGCTTTGGAGAACTGAATCCCTCAGGCCGACCACACAGGAAGCTTGCTTCCATATTTAGGCGAATAAAAGACGATTGAAAACGCCCTGACCCCAAAGCTTCTCCCACACGAATCCCCACCCTGGCACTTTGCTTTGTCCTGTTTGCTGCAGTTTCACACGAATAGATACCTTCCTTTCGTTTAACAAATACTGATTGGTGCTACGAGCACTGAAATGACTGTAGACAGGAAGACACTCTTTCGAGCGAAATGACGAAATGACATGCTTTTAGTCTTTACGTCAGGGCGCAGGTGTCAACAAGGGCTGTGCTGGGCAACCCCTGTCAGTGCTCACTCCTTTACAGGAATTAAGGTTGGCTGCTTTCTCACACCTCAGGGAGGGTTCTTGCACTTAAAAATGACTGTAGGGGGGAAGGGAGAGTCAATGAACCTGCTCGTTTTACAGTAAAGTTGATACGATTCCAGAGAACTCTAACAGCAGAGGGCCGCTGGAGATGCAGGAGGCCTCTGCCAAGGAGCGCGTGGTGCTTTGGCTTGGCACAGTGGCTGCCCGCTCCCAACAAAATACGCTGGCTGCTCCCAAACACAGAGAATGCTTTAAGAACATTGTAATCAATGTTATAATGTTTAAAGATATTTATTTTCTTACAATAAGACAACTAAATATCATTTCCCTGTGCCCAGTGGCATAACATATAGATGTAGCATATACATGTGTGGGTTTACATATGTAAACATATATAAATATGTGTATAGTATTTATCCACCTGAAGAAGAAAGCTCGAGCACATAAGCAAGTGTCTAAGAGTCATGAAAGCTGTTAGAGGTGACTGTAGGACATCACAGCTTCCTGTCTGTCTGTATCCTAGAGAGACAAGAGCCAAGTTGCATCATATCAGCAATTACGCTGTAACTTCTCGGTTTTATTTCTTGGTGCTTTACAGCAATGAGAAACTTTTGCTTTTCATGTATCAAACTGATATTCATTTATACATCATTAAATGCCTAATATATACCAAACACTGTGTGGTAGAAAACTAACTTTCTAATTTATAATGTGGGGGGGTTTACTCACAAAAAACTTATAAATTGGATGCTAATATTTTTATTTTACAGATAAAGCCAAAAATCACTGGAACTGTGTAAGTTTCCAAAAGGTGCCCAGTGAATAAATGCTTTGGTCGATAATCACATACATCCTTTCGTGTACCCACCCAACAAGTACTTGTTGAAATCCTATGTTCTAGGCCCTATTACAGATGCTAGAGATTTGTGGTTGAATAAGTCAGACAATTTTCTGCTCTTAAAGACCTTACTTTCTAGTTAGGGAAATAAGTAATAATAATAATGATTTTAAAAACTCTATATATTACTTCCCATAAGTCACAGTTCATTACCTCACTCTCTTCTTTTAACATCATCAGAAATGTTCTATAAACTAAAGGAAGAGAGTGAGGTAAATTGTGACTAATGGGAAGTAATTTATACGGGTGGTCAGACAAGGTCTGGTGAGGGAGTACAGGTGAGCTAAACATTAATAAGAAAGAGTTTGCTATGAAAAATCTGAGGGCAGAGAGAACAAAAGCAAGACTACACCCTATAAAGTAAAAATTAGTTTAGCTTTTCAAAGAACAGAATGAAGGTCAACATAGCTGGCGTACAGAGACTAGAGGAAAAATTGTGGGAAATGATTATCCATCTGTAAAACATAAACTGTTTTTGTTATGTTAACCTACCTAACTGTTCTGGAATATTCAAACTTCAAAGAGCGTTGCTGTCCAGCTAATAAAATTATATTTTCACATCTACATGGGAATCACTAGAGGGGAAAAGATATATTAGTAAATGGTATAATTGGACCATGATTTTTAGAAAAGTACTGCTTTGTGTTTGGAAAAGACACATGGCAAGAATGATCAGTTTCCTTAAGGATATTTTCTTTCTCTATACCCTAGGCTTGGAAGAGATCAAATAATACTGCAGTAATATTTTCTCATGCATTCATCACAACATGGTGTGTATAATTAGTGTCAGATGTGCATATTATCCAGATCTCCAACTCCAAAAGGATAAATACACGTTTAAAAGATCTAAGTTGTTTTAAACCCAAGAAATTAGCAAATGCATCAGCTATTCCCTTAAATACCAGATTTAACTCCTCCATCATTCATCAGCAGTATCCAAGTGTGCACTTGCTATCTAGTGGCAGTCTAAAACCACATATTTCTCAGCCCTACAGTCACACAAGTCTTCCCGAGTAACTCTCTATATTTTGGAACTCATATGCTTTTATGCATGTCCTTTCATTAATTCACATTTATTTATTTATTCACATATTCAACAAGTATATTCTAAGTACACAGTAGGTTTCAGTTACTATGTCGGTTATTAAAGACAGAAGGGGCAAGTTCAGAAAAAGTTCTTGCTTCAAGCAGCTTACAGTCTAGTAAGGAAAGTAGATGATAAACAGTAATATAATATCAGGCACTGACAAATGATAGAGAAAGATAAGGCTTTATGGAAGCTCAGAGTGTGACATTTTTACTTTACATATTAGAAGCAAGTGAAGACATCTCTGGCCTGATGAGAGTTGAACAGTGAATGAATTCAGCTAAACGGAGAGCAAGACTTGGAAGTAGATGGAGAAAGAACCATTTAGAGAAAAGGCAAAGACCTTATAGTAGAAGTATGCTTGATATTTTTGTGGAATAGCAAAGAGGTGGCTATTAGAGAGAGCAGTGGCTAAGAGGAAAAATAGGAGGAGAGGCAGCCAAGGGCCCGATCATTGACCTACTCAACTATAAGAAGGTGGAGAGAGATTAATCAAAGAACTTACATGCATATATGCATAACCCATGGATACAGACAACAGTGTTCGGAACACCTGGGGGAGAGGGAAGGGGATCAATAAGGAGGGAAAGGGGGACATCTGTAATACTTTCAACAATAAAGGTAAATTTTTTAAAAAACAAAGTATTTAAATTTTATGGTAAGTTTGATAAGCCATTGAGGGTGGAAAGAGGGGAAGAGTTTAACATATCACCAAAATGATATAATTTAATTCCAAACAAACCCTTTAGCTGCTATTTAGAAAACATACTAAGAAACTGACTGACAAATAGAATGGAAGCAAAGAAAGCCTTTAGTACCAACATGTACCTCTAGTCCACTGCTGGTGGGCATGTGGGCGGGTGCAGCCACTGTGGAAAACAGCATGGAGTTTCCTCAAAAAATTAAAAATGGAGCTGCCGTTTGACCCACTGATCCCACTTCTAGGAATACATCCTAAGAATCCTGAAACACCAATCAGAAATAATATATGCACCCCTATGTTCATAGCAGTGTTATATAGAATAGCTAAGATCCGGAAACAGCCCAAGTGCCCATCAGTAGATGAGTGGATAAAAAAGGCTATGGTACATTTACACAATGGAATACCATGCAGCTGTAAAAAAGAAGGGTCTCTTACCCTTTGCAACCCTCTGGGATGGACCCAGAGACTATTATGCCAAGCAAGATAATTTAGTTAGAGAAAGATAAATATCACATGATCTCACTTATATGTGGAATTTAGTGAACAAAATAAACACAAACAAAACAGGTCCAGAGGTATGGATGCATGGAACAGAATAACAGATCTCAGTGAGGAGGGAGGTGGAGGGCACAGGAAGAGATTAACCAAAGAACATATATGCATATATGCATAACCCATGGACACAGACAATAGTGTAGGGAAGGCCTAGGGTGGGTCAGAGGTTAGATGGAGGGGGGCCAAAAGGGTGAAAAGAGGAGACATCTGTAATACTATCAACAATCAAAAATAATAAAATAGATAAGATGGCCTAACTAACCTACAGTAGGCAATAATTTCCAACCCACCTTAGCATAACATTTTCACAAAGGCCTTATTGTACAAACAGAATGTCTCTACTCTAAAGAAGTGATATTAATGATAAAACTTGGGGGCACCATTGTTAACCAGAGTGGTATTTTGATCCCCTCCTTAAATCATCATACATAGACATTATGCATTTATTTTGCATTGATCTTAAAAAGTTATGTGTATAATATTCACATTATGGCAATATAATTTTTATAGTAATCATACTTGAAATGTCTTAAACCTCAGAGATATATGAAAAAATAATCTAGCAGTTAGGGGAAAATAGGGGGATAAGAGACTACTGAGGGAAAACAAGAGTGGTTTAAATGACAGTAAAATTTGACAAAAAAAATTAACAGGAGACAAATGAAACAGATAATTCAAGGTAAACAATTTTAGAACATAGAAAGGAAGTTCCAGACCACAGGAGTTTCTATTTCCTGCATAAAGCACCTACTTAGAAACTGATACCTTAAAAAAAAAACCTAGCCTCCAGGAAGAAGTGAATGACAGGCTTCTGAAAGCCAGCTTATGGCTTCCTAAGAAAACTCTTCCACACTGAAGAAAGATCCATGAGGATAGAGATCTTAAAATTCTTATTCAACAATGAATCCTCTAGTTCTAAACAGTGTCAGGTTCACAATGGATATTCAGTAAATATTAGTTCAGTAAGTGAATGAAAGGGATTCCAGAGAAAGAGTACTCTCCAAATTATGTCCACCTCAAACATAGGAATCTCTAACTTTGAATTTTTTACTTATATATCCTGTCTCCTAAACTATTTTCATTTTCTACAAATTTAAGAAAGGATATCACAGACTCTGGGAAAACCCCACCTACAGTTGTGAGAAAGCACATTTCAGACAGCAGGGAAAACCCATAGCTCACCACAACACATTGTAGATTGTCTGGGCCACCGGTGCATAAATTTAAGGGAGCTGGAGGAGCTGAGCGATTCGAAGGTAGGAGGAAGGGGGCGGGGAAAACACGTGTGACTATAAATGCTGACACCCTTCAGCGGCTCAGCTAGAGCTCCAGCAGGCACTCACCGTAGACTGGCTTGACCTGAGATTAACGGAGAATATCGACTGGAAGAAAGATGGGTTCTGAGGATTGTTCCCTCACAGAAGACACCTCCTTGGAGAGAGGACGACAAAGTAAGTCAGGCCTCATTTTTACATCCCGGTTGTAACTCTCTATAGAGATGAGACATACAGGGAGGGGCAACCGTAGGCTTCCAGTTGTAACTCCATGGAACAGAGTTTATTCTTGTAGATTATTTATTAATTACTGTATTATTTCCCATGCAAACAACTGTAAACCTACTGTTGCCCCTCCCGGTAGCAGCACTTAGGGGAGAAAATGAGGCTTAGTCTTTTGAAGAACTTGGTGACATTCTATGTCCGTCAGGATAAAAAAAGGAAATGGGGAGAAGTAAATATTTCTTCATCTATGAAAAGCTAGGATTCCTGAGATGAGAGGAAGCACGAAGGTGGATTTCAGAAGATTTTCAAAGATCTGTTTCTTTGTTTCCGTTTATATTATCTCATTTTTTAGATGGACTTACAAAACTCCCTGCTCTGGCCCAGTGCACTCGCCATCACTTTCCCACCTCCATCTGTACCTATTCCAGGAAGCATTGACTTTCTTTGCAAAAAATTCTGTTTTCCACATAAACAGTCACACTCTTGATTGCCTCCGCTTTGTGTCTTTGTGTGCCTTCTGTGTGCCTTGTCTCCTGTTCTCATGACAGCATCTTCCAGTTGCTGGAAATGAAGGTTTCCAATCTTTGAGAGAATAGCCGTATTAGCATCCAGACATTTACAGTGTCCAACGGTAATTTATCAAGAGAATGTCATGAAATAATTCTTGAAAACGCCACCTTCATCTTCTGCTTCTATATTCTTTGTGGGGCTTTTTTCCTATACTAAATCCTTCAGTTTCACCCATTCAATCACCAGCTTCAAATTCTACATGAATCAGACATTTTTCTTTCTTTTGTTTTTTTTCATCAAAATATGATTATGGTGGCTATATACTACTTCTGCTCTTCTATTTGTCTATTCTGTCCAGAGACCTATTCTATTTATTATAACAGAACTTTCCATTGTTTTCCTATAACTTGTTTCTGTGAGGCTTTCTTAATTTATTTCATTTATCCCTCTTCCATTTTTAATTATCGAGGTGCCCCAAAACCTAGCATGTAGGAAGCAGAGCTTATTTGTAAGCAGTAATAAAAGGATGTGCTATGATCGGCAGAGCTGGAACAATGTAGAGGAAGGGATTGTCTTTAGAGTGTGTGTCTATTAAACTGTTTTGCATTAGAAAAGCTTTGATTGCCTCCCATAAACCCATCTTTCTCTTAAGAACACAAAACCAAGTCTGGATAACAAGTGCCAAGCTGTACAAAATTTTTGGTAACCACATAAACATCACTTTACGGTCCAGTTGAGCTGCCAAAAAGAAAGACAACTGTAACAATAAAACTACTCAATAAATAGAGGGCATAGTTTCAAAAAGATCCTAATTCAGGAATTCTTAACTTTTCCTGAGATCATCCCAATTTTCTGTGGAATGTTTCCTTTTTGCTGCCCTTATACTTGCTTGATTAGTATGAAAAACCATTGGGCATCGCCCTTAGGTGACTCAATACGTAATTGTGGATTTATTTTCGATTTCTCCATTAATGGACTGAGACCATAATCAGAGCGGAAGTATAGCCTGAGGGGGAGTGTTTTGTCACCTGGGTGATAAATCAACTGAGCAACAATAGCCCTCACTAAGGGATGTAAAGTACAGTCTGAAAATCATCGGCACAGTTCACCCACTAGATGAGCCAAGGGACTAAGGTGGCCTTCGGGGTCCCTGGCCTGCTTGGATGAGTCTACGAGTAGGGTCGGCTCAGGAGCAAACGCTGCTGCTGCGGAGTCTAAGCCGCACGAGGAGAAGTGAAACTAGACAGAGAGCTCGGAGCTGTTACCTCCCTGCCATGGCTCCTCTGGCAGCAGCTGGGCTCTGGGGAGAAAAGGAAGATTTGCTGTGAGAGGCTGAAAGAAACAGAACTAAGTAGGAGTGAAGTAAAGGCTTCTCTTGGAAAAAATCTGAATGCAGATCTGCGCTGGAATCCCAGAAGCAGAAACTGATGTTGACATTCAGTACATGGTAAATGACATTAAAGAAGACAACATCTCTTTGTCCAGTTCACTTTAGAGAAATGTTATAAGGCAAATGCATTGTTTTAATGCATTTCAAGAGATGTGACTTATAAAAGTCATCCATACTGAAAAACAGGATATTTTCACATTTTGAGACTTATTTTATGGTATATTTTAATATCATTCAAGTAGCAATTTTACATTTCAGTTGCTTAGAACATAATAGGGAAATATGTATATCTTAGGAGGCCAAATTTTAAAAAATTGATAGCTCTTCCTAGCAAAAATCAAATTCAAACTCTGAGTCACAAGATCCCCTTCTCTCCTTTCTCAATTATTTGTTTATATTTTAGAACAGATATCCTTCTAGGTTTTCTTTTGTGTGTGTGTGTGTGTGTGTGTGTGTGTGTGTGTAACTAAAGATCATCCTTCACATCAGAATTATATTCTAAATCCTTCCACAGAAATATTTTTATTGGTGAAATCAGCTTTTTACTTTGTTTCAGCATTAGACAAAGGGTAAATGAAAAAATTAACTTCTGCCCAATGTTTGGTATTTACTACTCTTATGTTTCCTCTATTATTTTAACTTTTCTTGGAAAATTCAAATATTTTCTGTTCATTCACATGTCATTTTAATTCAGGTATAATTTACATACCGTAGATGCACAGGTCATAAGTGTAAAGTTTAATGAGGTATAACTACAACTCCAATCAACATTTGAAATTTCATCACCCTAGAAAGTTCCCCTGTATTCCTTTCTACTCAAATTACCTTTCCTACACACATCAAAGCAAATACTCTTCTGAATTCTGTCATCATAGTTTAGTTCAGCTATTCTTGAATGTTATATTAAATGAAATATGCACTTTATAATTGCAGATGGATTTTTTCACTCAACATTTTTTGGGGGGATTTATCCATTTTGTTGCATGGATCAGTCATTTGTTTTTTTAAATTGCTGAGTAGAATTTCTTTTTATGGATAATAGCATAATTTGTTTATCCATTTTCCTACTGATGTGTATTTGGGTTATTTCTAGGATTTGGCTCTTAAGAATAAAACTGCCATGAATATTCTTGTGCAAAGCATTTTTGAGACATGTTTCCATCTTTTGAAAAAATACATAGGAATAGAATTGCTGGATCATAGGGTGGGTATATACATAATTGTGTAAGAAACAGTTTTCTAAAGTACTTTTTCATTTTACTCTCCCATCAATAATCTATGAAAATTTCAATTGCTTCACATCTGCACCAACTTTACCAAAACTACTATCAATCTTTTTTATTTTCAATCATGCTAGTTTTAGATATTAATATATCAATTCGATATTTTTTAATTACACTATCCCCCTTTTATCTTCATTTACATCATCTCTCTTAAACAGTAGATGCATAAAGAACAAGGGATTATGCTTAGGGATTTTTTTATAGATCATCCAGGGTAATCGAGTGTTTAATAAATGTTCCTATAGTGTTTAAAGCAATAAAACTATGATAAACTTAGAATTTTTATAGCTACGAGGTACATATATTGGGGAGATACTTTATGATCTCCTGATTATGCCTATATTGTTTCACTTCTATCCAAAAAGAAACTGTCCAAATTCACTCAAAATTTGGAAAATTTACCTTATAAGTTTTATAGAAGATAGACACATTACTTTTTAAATTAAATGCCTCAAGAAAATATCAAATGTCCCTATCTTACTTCTGCAGTCACCTGAATTCACTATCTGCTTTCTCTCTTCAGATAACTCTGCCAGCCTTCACTTTGCAACACATCGTGAAGGGCACCTTCAAGTTCCTGTCCCATGTGCTGTGCTGAATGTGGTCATCATCACCATTTTGGTCATAGCTCTCATTGCTTTATCAGGTGGGTCTGCACTTCATGAATTCGAGTCTCTTTGCTGTAAGCATTTGTTGTAATCCCAGCTGAAATCAACAGAGATTACTTGGTCCAATTAATCAGAAATTCTGAGTAATTTTAGGAGTATCCCACATATCATACATGGTGGATTTCCTAAGAAATACTAAATATAATTTTATGTTTCATGGATGATTAATATAATACCATTTTAAGTTTTCTAGAGGTTTTTTTAAAATTAAATTTATTGGTGTGACATTGTTAATAAAATCATATAGGTTTCAAGTGTACATTCCTATAATACATCATCTTTATATTGCATTGTGTGCCCACCACCCACAGTCAAATCTTCCGTCACCATAGATTTGGCCCCCTTACCCTTTACTACCTCTGAACCCCCTTCCCACTGGTAACCACCGTGCTGTTTTCTGTGTCCATGAGTTTCAGTTTTATATCCCACATATGCGTGAAATCACTTGGTTCTTAGCTTTTTCTGACTGACTTATTTCACTTAGCATGATATTCTCAAGGCCCATGCATGCTGTTGACCATGGCAGTCTTTCATCTTTTCTTATGGCTGGGTAGTAACCCACTGCATATATGTGCCACATCTTCTTTTTCCAATCCTCTACTGAAGGACACTTTGATTGTTTCCATGTGTTGGTCACCAATGAATAGTGCTTCAATGAACATACGGCTGCAATTTGTCTTTGAGAGTAAATGTTTTCAAACTTCTTGAGTAGATATCCAGAAAAGGGATTGCTGGGTCATATGGTTACTCTATTCTTAATTTGTAAAGAAATCTCCATGCTGTTTTCCAAGGTGGTTGTAGCAGTTTACATTCTCACTAGCAGTGAGTGAGGGTTCCCTTTTCTCCACAACTCTGGGGCTTTTCTATAGGTATGAAAACTGTCTATGATTTATACATTACTGTGGAAGAAAATTACATTACTGTGGATTTGAATATGGAATGAAAGAGGCTGATTCAGATTCTAAAAAAATCAACATTTAGTTAGAAAAAATGTGGGCTTCACATTCATTGTTGACAGAAAAAATAATATCTAAGCCATAGATCAATCAGGACTTGGCCAGTTTTTTGTCTTTCATCTCAAAGACCACAGAAATGTGATTATGGATAATTAAGAATATATCTAGAAACTCCCAGGGGCAATTGTCATATGGTATTCAAATATACCAAGATACCTTTGTGTCTTTTACAAACATGATTTTTTACAATTTTATCAAACATCTCCAGTCATAGATCTTTTTGTATTCTAAATTACTTCCCTGCAAATTATTTTCTCTTCATCTTCCAATATAGTATTTTGTCTACTGCAAGTTTAAATTTCTCCACCTCTGCACTCAGATTCAAGACCTTACTTGACATTTAAAAGCACTTTACTGTGTCTAGTCCAAGGCTATTTTCAAGATATTTCTATTTTTCTACCACTTTCGGACATTAAAGCCAAAGAGCCACCCTCTTTTCTCTTATGCCTTTACAATGATGATTAGGCACAATGGAGGATGTGAATAGGTGAGAACCTGCCTTACGCTTCTCAGAATTCACCACCTTGGCTTTCACCCTTTGCTTTGTCACCTGGTACAGCACAGCATCCCCCGGACTAGGTTTGCATGCTGTAGGTATTTAGTTTCTTTTGTTACTAAAACAAACAATTTTCCTGTCCACAGTGGGCCAATACAATTGTCCAGCCCAATATGTATATTCAGAACCATCAAACACCGGCGTTTCCTCATGCTCAGAGGATTGGATTGGATACCAGAGGAAATGTTACTTTATTTCCAATATAACAAGGAATTGGACCTTGGCTCAAAACTCTTGCTTCAAACATGGTGCTAGCCTTGCTGTCATTGATTCTGAAAAGGACATGGTAAGATAGTAGTTAATAACAATTTCATAAAATGTTGTTATAGCTAATCTGTGATTTCCCTTTTTTTTACAAGTGAAGAAAACACTGTACCTTTGTCCGTGTAGGAAAATTTAGTCTGAGGTCAAAATGAGAGTTCTGTTTAGTCTTGCAAATTTGATGTGAATGCTTAGCTTCAAAGGCCAGAAATCCAAATGAGTCTCTATAGAGTTAATAAGTGATCAGCTTAGCTACCGTACCTCAGATACAGCTTTGAGAAACTGCTTTTGAGAATTTATTATACTTACCCAGAAGGGTTGTTTAACATGCACCCCCTTTGTGTTTTCTTCAAGATCTTTTTAAAACGACATGTGGGTAGAGCTGAACACTGGATTGGGCTGAAAAGTGATGCTGGTCAGGCATGGAAATGGTCAAACGGCAAAGACTTTAACAACTGGTAAGTTTCAAGATGTTTCTTTATCTTTCCCAGGCTGGTAGCTCAGGAAAACCATTTTCCTTTTTTCCACTGTTCAATATGAACATTGTGCTTTTTATGAACAGAGCCTTAACAGTTTCTTTTGTATGCTTATAGTCTTTGGAATTCTTTAATGAAAGACTTTCATATTATCATTTGATTCTTTGCATCTACTTGGAATTCATACAATAAATGCTTCTAGTAATTTTATCTCAGAAAAAAATTAGTGTGGATAAAAGACTCAGAAATATTCCAGGAATTATTATGATGACGCAAACAAAATCTAATATTTCCAATCTCATATTAATATTTCACTGATGAACTAGTGTTTGAAAAATAATTCCCTCTTACTCTTTCCCTGTTCTCATCTCCACAGGGATAACAAACAATATTTTCATAGCTAATTAGCAGCTTCTAGGGTCCTGAAAGAAAAATTGCCCCAGAATTAAAGATGCTGACGTTATTTTTATTACCTGCAATTAAAGTTTTAAAGTTTGAAGGACACTTTATAAGTTTAGTGTTAATCTTTGTCATCTGAAAACTAAGAGTTAATAAATTTCTAGCTATCTAAATAGTCTTATTATAATTACTGATACAGAGATTAAATTCAAATCTCTAGAAAAGGAATTCTTAATGGCTGTCATATGGTATCATATCCACAGATGAGCTTCAGGAGCCATAAGCCCCCTAAAATTGCATGCACAAATATGTAGTTTTGTTGAATGTGTATACTTTCTGGGAATTGTTTCTTGAAGAGTTTGTTAACTCAGAAATGATCAAGAGTCATTCCTCCGGTGGCCTGGCAACCAAATAAATGGAGCTTTTCACTTTTAGCTTTGTACCTTCCTTCCATACATGCTTCCTTTCAATCCCTGTCTACTACTTCTCCAGATTAGTCTATGATCATTTGACTGGCAGATGCATTCCTATTCAGCAAAAAAAAATTTTCTTAAAGCAGAGGCCGCTACCACCACAAAGTTTTTATGTTCATGTAACTGAACGGAAATGATGAACTGAAAATAATTCTTAGTTTCTTTCTTGTTTGACAGGTTCAGCCTTACAGGATCAGGGAACTGTGCATTTCTGAATAGCACAGAGGTCAGCAGCACAGAATGTGGAAAGGATTTACACTGGATATGTAGCAAACCCTGCAAATAATGGGGAATCATCTTTGCTTATAGACTATTCTACCATGAAACTCAAGGAAATTTGTATTGTTGGATGCTGCTCTATGGTCAGACGCTTTCCATAGACTTTGTGAAAAAAAACTTTGTGTTATTTTGGAAAACTTCCTCCAAACAAGACTGTAGAAAAGGGAAGAGAAATTCCAGGAATATCTGCCTTGTGGAATACCTTTGTCATGAGCTGAAAGCACCAATGATTGACGGATATTTATGTTCGAGAATGCAATGAATGACTTTAAACCTTTTGAATGCACTTTATACTTTTTCAAATTCAGAAATAATAAAATAGCTAGGTTTAGAGTTATTATTTATTGTAGAATGAGTACCAACTATGAGTGTCCTTCACGCATTTGCACTATTTGAAGGAATTAGGTGGCAGTATTAAAAACTGAATGTAAACAACAGGAATTTTAACCAGTGACACAGATATTTAGTCTAAATGCATTTGTTAAACACAGAGAACATTTATAAGTGAATGAATGCTTATGAAACTAAGCTTTGTAATATTTCTCTCTTTTTGGAGACGTTTGCTAGGTTACTTTGTCACTTTTCCCCCCAAAGAATGGGATGACCAGATATTTATGTCGTGGTTGTTTTGTTACTCCTTCAGTGTCTCTTTCAACGGTACTTAATTTTTGCCTTTAGGACCTATACACCATGTTTTACAAAGATAAAAACAAAACCAAAGAACATGAGAAATATTTGTAAAACAGATAAGTGTTGGATAGTGTGCAATAAATGATCCTCGCCGGTGTGGCTCATCCCTATGTGTCAAATCTCTATGAGGAAAAATTCTGTATTGTTCAAGCCTAGAACAATAAGATATCTGATTATAAATGTGGGCCTCTCCTAATCAACTTTACCGTGTGCAGTACTTCATGTGAAGGTTTTTAGTGCAATAAAGTGTTTGTTTGTTTGTCTTTTGTATTCAGTGCAATTATAAGCTGTTTTTATGTGTGTTAAAATAAATATAGAAACAACAAAATGATTCCTAAGAAGTGTTTGTTCCTTTAAAATACACTAAAAATTATGTCATACTAGAAATAAAAAAAAAGAATGCTATAGCTTTTTCAAAAACATATCTACTATAAAACCTTAGCTTTATAATGTGTTTTCTACTTTTTGAATTGTTTTTATATGTGTGCTTCCAAAAGGGCCATATCCATTTTTCTGTATAATAGCAGATGCTCAGTAAATATTCTAATTGACTTGAAAAGAAGCTATCTCACTTAAAATGTTTTGTTCCTATTATTTTCTTCTTCTTTATTGTTTATCACCCTCATACTAAAGAAGCACGAGCCTCACCGGTGTGCTCAGTTGGTGGAATGCCGTCCCTTGCACCAAGAAGTCACAGGTTTAATTCCTGGTCAGCGCACGTGCCTGGGTTTGCTCCCCAGTAGGGGGCGTGCAGGAGGCAACCTATTGATGCTTCTCTTTCATCAGCTGTTTCTCTCTCTCCCTCTTCCTTCCTCTCTTTCTAAAATCAATAAAAACATAGTTTAAAAAAAGATTGTTAGAACTAATAAACAATTTTTTTTACAAAGCAGAGAGAAAGTAGGAGACACCTAAGGTCATTTTGTGGGGACCTACTTATAGCTCATTCTCTCTCCAATAAGAGGATAATTGGTCCTAATAACCAATGCTCTGAAAGCATCTTGTTCAATTCCGAAATGCTATACATATTTTAGTTATTTACATAAATGATTCATTAAATGGAAATGAGGCACTACATAACCTTCATGGTACATTTCAAGCAGGAAAAATCCATTACCTTTAAAATTGTTTTATGAATATATTATTCTCTGAAAGTTGGAAATGTACACTCTATGTGGCATCTTTCAACCGTTGTCACTAGTATGACATACCGAAAGGAAATGTGGATTCCAGACACTGCTAAGTGATAAATAATATAGAAAGTCTCTTAATCTCAGTGTCTCTCAGTTCTCACAGCTGTAAAATGAAACAAATGGCCTCCAAGCTCATATACTATCTTTAATAATAACAATAGACTCCTCCTGAGCCATGTTACAAAAATCCTTGTGACTTGTGTGCTATGAAACGTGTAAGTGGGAAGTGTTGCTGTTAAGAGCCAGAGCACAGGAGAAATATTGCCTGAGTTCCATCTCTACCACTCACTAGTTACCTAGCTGTTTAAGTTAGAATTAGTTAGAAATTTAGCTAAAAGTAGCTGGAAACAGAATTAGTTAAGACATGAAAAAGGACTTAGAAGATAACTGATTGAATATAACTTGCTATTTGTGTTTTATTTTGCTTTTTCAACATAATTTCAATTTCTTCCTCTGGACAGGGGAATAATTCTTCACCTTTTTACATAATTTTAGGAATTCAATAAAATTAAAAGTATTTTGAAAGTGATAAGATACCATTAAAATGTTTCACATTATAGTCAGTCTTCAATTGACTCAAATTTTTATAATATGAATATAGAGATGGATTTTCTAAGTTTGTTCTCAATTTTTATAAATTTGACTAGATTTTCCCCCCCAATGATATTTTAGAAAGCGTGGAAGGGAAGGGGAGGGGCAGAGAAAGAGAGAGAGAGAGAGAGATGGATGCGAGAGATACATCAATTAGTTGTCTCCCACACCTGCCAGTGGAAATTTTCTAGATATTTCTATAGACTTGCCAAGCTTGTCCCTAGCACGTTGTGTCTGATAACAAAAACAAGTCGTGCAGACTCTCACCAGCAGATGGAGGCATTAAACAAAGGTGTTTTGGGGAAAGCATCAGTAGGTAACTTTCTGTTTTCTCTAGGGTCTTCTGAGATACTGAGAGCCAACTATTAACATCAATAGCTGACTTTACTCACTATAGCTTCCTGATGAGGAAGGAAAAAGAAAAAGCGTAATGAGTGGATACCATATAAGAAGCTTAGGAAGTGAGAGAAAATTTAACTTTTATCTGTTTTAAAAACGCTGACAACAGCAAAGACAAACTGATACATGGTTTAGAGCATAAAATTATGAGTTAACTTTGCCCTTAGAGCTTAGTCACACATTGGTGTGTCTGGTGACTTCTAGAAATAACAGGAAGGAGGTGTGTGTGCCAATACTAGGAACTGGGCTGGGCTGGGGAAAGAATGAGGTTTTAAGGTCCTCAGGCAAGCTGGCACTGACACTGGGGAAACCAAACATGTACCCAAACTGGGAAGACCAAAGGCACGAGGATTCACGGCAAAGCTCAGGCAGGGCGGCCCCAGGCAGGGCGCCCCAAAGCATTACACACCCTCCTTGTTTCCCAGGCCTGCTCCACGTTGCGATACGATGTCAGCATTTGACATTTTAGGGGGTATATTAATCTGAGTGATGATAACACTTTATGTTACTACTCATCTAGTTTTGGACATGTTGCTCATTACTAAGTCTTTCCTAATATAAAAAGAGGTGAAACTGAAACACCTGTCTCTCCATTTTAAATAATAATTAGTTTACTGATTTATTAATTATATGTTTTCGACTCATAAAATCGTTTCTCTCAAATGCTTCTAAGAGGAAAACTGATTTGATTTTATGGACTAAACTGATTCTTGGGTCTGTCAGATAGAGGTCTTAAGATTAGCATTAGAAGAGGAAACAAGATGGTGGCGCAAGTAACAGCTGCACCCGCCGCCTCCCGAAACCACATCAAAATCACAACTAAAATACAGAACCACCATCGCTCAGAGCCTCTTGAAATCCGGCTGAACAGGAGCCCCACAACCAGGGAGCTGAAGAAGCACAGAGGCCAGTAGGAGGGGCGGAGACGTGCGTGGATTGGGGCTGAATCAGGGAGACCTGGCCGCAGGCCCACACCCGGTGCCGCGAGGTAAATCTGGGAGGGAATCTTGGCAGCAGAGTTTTCCCAGAGAAGGGAGGAGGGAAGGGTCCCAGCCCCACAGCAGGCCCCCAGCCCAGGGCTCGGGGGCCCGGAAGAGACGTCCCCACAACTCCAGGCTGTGAAACCAGCCGGGACTGTCCCTGAGGGTCGCGGAGGCTGC